GTTTCAATTGACATTAAAGATACATCCATAAATAATGTATAAGGTGTTCATAAATGATAAATAGATGGGTAATGTTTTCACAGGTGTCTATGTGATTTAGGATCCTAAAACCTATTGTCACATGTATTTTGCCTATTTCTAAAAATAAGTTAGGTTCCTAAGTCACTTGGACAATTATGAAAATTTCACCTGTTGTAAACATGTTACAGACATGAGTTCTATGTCTTACACATAATGCTAAGTAGAAGGTGTTAGAGAGTTCTAATCCATGATTGTATGCAACTGTCACAGGGTGGTTGGCCCCAGAGAATGAAGTGGATCCAGCTTCCCTGTGCCAGAACAGGTGCTTCCATTTGGTCATTTAAGAGGTAGGGCAGCACCTCAGGACTTTAAGAGACCCAGTGAATCAGAGCTGCTTGAGTGAGAGTGAGGAAAAGAAGCAGGTGAGAGCTGCTAGATACAGAAGGTGTCTCTTGGGGGAAGGCTGAAGGAAAGGAGAGCAGCAAGAGGGGTTTGCTGGCTGGTGTCCCCAAGGCAGAGAGGTAGGGCAGATCCATTGGAAAGGACTGATGGCAAGAGTAGCAGCACAGGGAGGTGCCTGCTGGCTCTAAGACAGAGTGCCAAAGTTGAAGGCTGGAGAGGGTTGAAGGAAGGGGGAGCACTGGTGCGGTTTAGCAGCTGACATCTCTGTACTGGAGAGCTGGACCCAGAAGAACAAAGAGAGGGTCAGGAGGAGTGAGGGATGCTCTTCTTGTGAGGAAGATCACCCATCAGAGATGCCATGGGGGTTCCTGCTAGGAAGAGTGGGGTTGCACTCCAGCTGGAAGGGCTGTGGGGGCCATCCTGAAAGAGGGACAGAAGAGGACCAACAAAGAATCCAGGTGTGGCGGAAGACACCAGAATGTGGTCTGTGTTACATCAATCGCCCTGAGGATATGTGATTTTAAAGATTACTCGTTTATCACCGCAGTGCAAATTATGTTTTGGGAATTTGAATTTTGAACTATTTGCACTGTGTTCTTGTAATAAACCCAGCCCCATGAAGAGGTACTATTGAAGCAAGATAGCCTAAAGTAGAGTCTGTGGGTTACCTCAGGGGAGAAATGGGTGCACTGGTCATGCCAGGGCCTGTTGCAAGAGGGCACTGCAGTTAGGGCTGCCCTCTGACAGCAATCTGTTGCCCTCTTGAATTCTATAGCAAATGATTTAACCACTTCTTCATTGTGTATTAACCCTTTATAAGCTATTTATAAATGTACCCTTAATATAAAGTGAGATATTTTGTTCTTTAACCTTAGAATACAATGTATATTAGAATATAACTGATTTTTGTTATGACAGTAGACTTGTACAGTTCTGCTTCTTCATTTTCAGTTGATGTCTGGGCCTTTAATTGATCTACAGTATAGACAGAAAAGAAAAATATTGGCAAATGACACCTCTGTAAATGTATCTGAGCTCTAGAGGTGGGAGACAGGTTTGTAAGTGGATAGCCGAATGTGCAAAGCATTTAGTAGGATCTTCTCTGTTTTCCAATTGATCCATTTGTTTGGCTTTTTATGGTATGAAAATCATTCTTGACAGTGCTATAATTGTATAATGATTTGGCATGATTTCTGTGCTGAACCAGTATAACATGTCAAATGCGTTGGACAAAATATGATGCTTTTTTCCCAATGAACCCTGTAAATCCATTTTGCTGCCTATAACTTATGAAGACAGAATTGATTTTTGTCATGAAAATTTTTTTATTACAGTGGGGGAAATCTTGCTGCCTTCTTTTATGTCAAGTTTGAGACTGGAGATCATTTTCTCTTTTCAGCTGAGGATTTATAATGGAAATGCTGACAGACCCTCAACTGTAGTATTGCTGGTGTTTGTGTCTATAATAGGAAGCTACTAACAATCAAACATTCAGCACAATTGAATGTTACCTTTTAAGACAGGGTAAGACAATCTCCCTCCTCACCTTCAGGTCCACTCTGTGCTTTTACGAAAAATGAGGTCCTCAGAGAGCTTTGCAGCTGTGATTACCAGCATTTCCGTTCAAGGCCAGCAGAATGACTCAGAGCACTCAACATATTTACTGCAAGAATCACAAACTTGGTTGAAAATTGATAGATTCCAACATTAAATATTTATCCCATTACACTGGGATAAATGGGTTCATGCATAATAATGTTAAACACCATTTGACTCGTTGAGCCCCCACGTTCAAGGGGACCTTGCAGACACGTGTCATATATGCCTCTCTAAATGCTGATGTCTTCAAATTCCTTTCTAACAAGAAGGCATATAAGATATTAATCCCCAATTTCCAACTGATTTGCTCATGCCTCTCATACACTGAATGATTCTTCTTTAAAAGGGTATTTCTCCAATTAGCTTTTGTATTTTGCTTTGTTCAATATAAAGAGAGATGGATTTTTTTATAGATTTTTCCCAACTGTTTGGAAAAGATTTTATAAAACAGGATATAAGATTATTATTTTTAACGTGTGGATATTATGTAATTTGACTGTGGCTTTCAAAACTCTCATACTTGTTTTAAAAAATACAGCGAAAAAGAATGTGTTACTTGTAGCATGTAACTCCTGCAAAATGATGAGGGGCCTCCTAAATTGTACCTGCAAAATATGCATAGGAGCTCCTGTGTTTAAAGTGCTCATTTGCATCCTCCCTGTGTGGGGGGTTGGATTCATTGCTTCATTTTTCCATAGTTTTGGTGCTGTTGTGTTTTTGGTAATCCAAAATTGTCATGAGTTATATATTAGGTAGAATTTTAAGAAGTACTAAATCTTTTCATTAAAGCTGTAATTTTACACTGTGTTTTGTGATATTTGCACACCTTCAGCTCATTTCCCCATCTTCTGAGAAAATTCATCCAACTCATTTCCCTCTTGCCTTTTAGTTTTTTCTCTTTTAGTTATTCATTGTGCAATGGGCCAGATTCACTGAGACCTGCTCTACACTGGAGTTTTACCAACTGCTGGTAGAGCTGAATCAGTGCAAAACCATATTTTAGACATGATTTAACCTAGTGCAAGCTGATTTGTATCCGTTTAGCTTATCCCAATTTGAAACCAGGGTAAGCTAGACCAGTTACTGCAGTGGCATAAAGCATGACTACAGTAGGAGTTTATACTTTTGCAGCTACACCAGTGACTAAAAACCAAATGTACAGATCAGAAGTGTGAGTTGGTGTAATTTAAACTTCTTCTTGCACCTGCAGTATGCATGTTACACCATGTTAGATTCCATCTAGACCAGAGTGCCAAACTCATTCAGCAGAGAGAGCCAAACTCCACTTATCGTTGTGGTCTATGGCCTGAGGCCTTAATTTGGGACTGTGTACACTCCATCTTCAGCAGAAGGCCCACTGACATCACGGAGAAGTGTACTATAGTTCAAGGGTAGAAACGGGCCTTTACATAATAACCAAACTTCTAGTTATTATTATTTGTTACATACTTAATTGACTCACTGTCACTCAGTGGGAAAATATGCCCACCATTTGGACCACTGTTATTTCTATCTGTTGTTTCTCTTCCTTCTTCTCCATCTTCCTTTCTGTTTCTGTCCTTCTTCCCTGTCTTTCCTCTCTGCTCTTCGCCCTGCATTTCCTTCCCTGCAGTTGCAAATTCTCAATTCCCACCTCTCTCTGGACCTTTTTTCAATACCCCATTTCACCCTCTACAGTGATTGACAGTGCAATGATGACATTAAAATGTCATTTGCTTGACACACTCAAGTGATGTGGCTAGAGTTCAAACCTGTCTCCTTTATTGTTTCAGGTTCTCTGCAGACTTAAGAAGCAAACACAGAATTGGTTTACCCTCATGTAACATTTTTAAGGTTTTCTTCACAACCACAAGGGCTAGAATTTTACTTTTTAAAAAATGAAAGCTGAAATTTTGTGCAATCTGAATATGTCAGGAGGGCCAATGGTCACATAAATATATATTGGGCTGGACTGATCTAGCCCACAGGCTGTATTTAACACCTGGGTTCCATCTAACTGTCTTAAGGTCTGTCTACACTCTGAAATGAATGGTGGTTTTTAAATGTGTTAACTAACATGCTGATTAAAATATTTTAAAACTTGTTGAGTTTGTCTAAATTTTCCAAAGATTCAAAATTTGGATGAAAATGTTCCCTGCATGTTTTGGTCAATTCTCCTTAGCTCCTACTGTAGACAAAGACAGTCATGTTTAAAAACAAGTTCGCAGGCTGTGATTAACCCCAGTGATAAACCAGAGAGATCCTTATATTTCTTTACTTAGGATCAGTTTCTGCCACCCATACTCTGCAAGCAGTCCTGAAGTATGGTACTGATTAAAAGTGACAGAGATGGTCCAATTTATACTTCTTTCTTAGACACATGACAGAGTGGTGTCATGGCTAAGGCACTGGGCTAGGACTCAATAGGATTTGGGTTTTATTTCTGACTCTGACACAGAATTCCTGTGTAAACTTGGATAGGTCACTTAACTTTCTGGTGTCTCCATCTGTAAAATGGAGATTCTTCCCTCCCTGGTGTTGTGAGGCTACTTAATGAAAGTCTGTGAAACACTGACACTACTATGAGAAATAGAAACACCTACACATGAAATTAAAATAGTTACCCACAGAAAGATTTTGTGGCTCAGTTTGTCTATCTGGAATATGTTTTTCAAAAGAAAGTTGTCTTGTGTAATTGTGGGATACTTTTGGCTCTGACTCATTATACTGTTAATTTCTGGCTACAGCTCTTTGATTTCCTCCCCCCAATTTGTATCTAATGTGGAATGAAGCATTGTGGCATTTACCCTGTGTCCTGAAACAATGTGGCAGTACTTTGATGTCCCCAAACATCTGACAAATAACCTGATTTTACTGTGTAAAAGAAACATCATAACTGCTGATTTAATTGAGCAAGATAAACCAGAGCGAGACAGTTTGGGATTTCCCCCCTTCCCCCCAGGCTCTTTGAACTACAGTACATGTATTTTTCCTTGCAGTACGACCGCTACCAGCGCTACGGTGCAGAAGAGTGTGTGCTGCAGATGGGCGGAGTGCTGTGTCCTACTCCCGGATGTGGTGCTGGCCTGCTTCCTGAACCAGAAGTGAGAAAAATCGTATGTGAGCCAAGCAATGGACTGGGCTGTGGGGTAAGACTCTGCACTTTCCTTATAGCTCACTGGGAATCAATTGAGATTGCAGGATCTAACAAGAAGCTTAAAAAAAACAACGTATTTTCTTTTCACATTGATGACTCTGAATTACCATTCATACCACAGTGAGATTCAGTAGCTTTCAATAAACAATTTTAATACCGTGCCAGAGCCTAGAAATCACTACTTTGTCATGTAGAGTATGTCCATCCCAGAATCCTTTGCTTTAATTGGTTTGAGAAGTTGCTGATCTAAGTAGTTACAGTGAGCAGTTGAACTGTGCAAATTACAAGCCAGGAGCTTTGACTTTTTTCTCCCAGCACTCAGCAAAATTGAATAAGATCTAGTGCAAACCATTTATTGTTGTATTAGTACCACCCTTCTTAATTAGAGAGGGGGATGAAGGGAGAGAGAATGACCAGTCAATGATACCTCAGTGACATTGTGTGAGTATTTTAAGAAACATAATGAAGATTAATGCAGAAAACTCTGTGCTTTATTCTCACTAAACCCATTTTTAACTAAGGATGTGCAGAATGAATGGTATTTTTAGGAAAACAAAATAAGCAGCATTTAAAAATATGTTGTGCTAAGAGGTCAGACCAGGTGAATCAGTCATTTTCTTGAATAAAATTACCACTGTATCTTAAAAGAAAAGGGCTGGAGGGGAAAAAGTTCTATACACAAGGCTCTACTAAATGATAGGTTGCAGTGACTAACTGATGCTGGTACCAGGGAAGTCCTCTTGTGCCTGATATTATTCCTAAATTCATGCAGGTGGCGGAAGGAGAGAAAATATATATATTTATAAAATAGCAGCGTGCTGTTGCTGTTGTCTTTTTGTGGTGGAAAATGTACTTTTTTATTGTGGTTTTGATGTTGCCCAAACTGATATCACAGAGGAATAATTGTTTGCTGAACTAGGAAGTTACTGTAACTTTTCTTCTATGAGTAGGTTAGCATCTCTCGACCTTGGTACAACTTCCTATCTGTCCATGCAGTGGTGCATGTAAAACATTAAGTTCCCCAGCTCTCTGAACTGGCACAGGGCTACAAAATAAAGGGTGGCGGTGGAAAAGAAATGAGAAACAAGAACGACTAAACAAAAAGAAATACCTCAGATTAAATTTCAGGATTGGTTAAAAAAGAAAAAAATGTAGGGCTGATGATTAATCGCAGTTAACTCGCATGATTAACTCGAAAAAATTAACTGCAATTAAAAAAATTGTGATTAATTGCACTGTTAAACAATAGAATACCAATTGAAATTTATTAAATATTTTTGGATATTTTTCTACATTTTCAAATATATTGATTTCTATTACAGCACGGAATACAAAGTGTACAGTACTCAATATTTCTGATTATAAGTATTTGCACTGTAAAAATGATAAACAAAAGAAATAGTATTTTTCATTTCACCTCATACAAGTAGTGTAGTGCAATCTCTTTATCAAGAAAGTGCAACTTATAAATGTAGATTTTTTGTTACATAACTGCACTCAAAAACAAAACAATGTAAAGCATTAGAGCCTACAGTCCACTCAGTCATACTTCTTGTTCAACCAATCACTAAGACAAACAAGTTTGTTTACGTTTATGGAGATACTTGCTGCCTGCTTCTTATTTACAATATCATCTGAAAGTGAGAACAGGCATTTGCATGGCACTTTTGTAGCCGATGTGACAAGGTATTTACATGAAAGATATGCTAAACGTTCGTATGCCCCTTCAGCCACCATTCCGGAGGATATGCTTCCATGCTGATGATGTTCATTAAAAAAAATAGTGCATTAATTAAATTTGTAACTGAACTCCTTCGGGGAGAATTGTATGTCTCCTGTTCTGTTTTACCCGCATTCTGCCATATATCTCATGTTATAGCAGTCTCAGATGATGACCCAGCACATGTTCGTTTTAAGAACAGTTTCACAGCAGATTTGACAAAATGCAAAAAAGGTATCAATGTGAGATTTCTAAAAATAGCTACAGCACTCGACTCAAGATTTAAGAATCTGAAGTGCCTTCCAAAATTTGAGAGGGACGAGGTGTGGAGCATGCTTTCAGAAGTCTTAAAAGAGCAACACTCCGATGCGGAAACTACAGAACCTGAACCACGAATAAAGAAAATCAACCTTCTGCTGGTGGCTTTTGACTCAGATAATGAAAATGAACATGCATCGGTCTGCTCTGCTTTGGATCGGTATTGAGCAGAACCCGTCATCAGCATGGACACACGTTCTCTGGAATGGTGGTTGAAGCATGAAGGGACATATGAATCTTTAGTGCATCTGGCATGTAAATATCTTGTGATGCCAGTTACAACTGTGCCATGTGAATGCCTGTTCTCACTTTCAGGTGACATTGTAAACAAAAAGCAGGAAGCATTATCTCCTGCAAATGTAACTAGACTTGTTTGTCTGAGCGATTGGCTGAAGTAGGACTGGGTGGTCTTGTAGGCGCTAAAGTTTTACATTGTTTTATTTTTGAATGCAGTTAGTTTTTGTACATAATTCTACATTTTGTGAGTTCAACTTTCATGATAAAGAGATTGCACTACAGTACTTGTATTAGGTGAATAGAAATATACTATTTCTTTTGTTTTTTTACAGTGCAAATATTTGTAATTAAAAATAAGCATAAAGATAGCACTGTACATTTTGTATTCTGTGTTGTAATTGAAATCAGTATATTTGAAAATGTAGAAAACATCCAAAAATATTTAAATACATATTTTATTATTACTTAACGGTGTGATTAATCGTGATTAATTTTTTTAATCGCTTGACAGCCCTGATACAATCACCAATAATTTTTGCTCTACTCTGTACCTTAAAGTGATAAAAATCAAACTGCATTCTGTAGCTTGATTCTTCAACATTTTGAATCTGTAGTTGCTCTGTAAATAAAATGTACTTAATTTAAAGGTTATACATATTGACCTGTTTAGCAAGCTGTTATGTTTTCTTTTAAGGACTCTCTTCTTTAGTAGCTACTGACCAGATTATGAGACTTGAATTTTATCTGACCAGTTGTTTTGGGTTAAGAGAAGAGGACACACTTCACTGAAGCAAAGTTTGGATATTAGCAAGGTCTAATGAACCACATTCTGGACACTCCCCCAAAATCCACACCCAAGCGTGAGAGAACAGGGGAGAAATTGGTGGCTCTGAGTCTCTCTCTGACTCTGCAGAAAAATAAAGTCCTTAGAGAAGATTTTTTTCTGCAGAACCCCCATGGCAGGAGTCATGTGATGCATTCTATGCCATGACCTCGGGACCTCAGGGTGTAGTCTACATGCATATAAGTTACCTGATTTCAGAATCAGGACCACAGATAAGAAGTTTTCTTTACCAGCATGTAAAAAAAAGGACAAAAGTTTGGCACAAGTATCTTTGCAGATAGTAGTATACCGTATATACAACAATTTACAAGTTCAAAAGAGGGCCATAAGACAAATGGTTGGCTGTTTGTGCATTCTAAGAGAGAAAGTATTAACTGTCTTTTTATATGCTTCCGTACAGTGTCCATTGCAATCAGGCTTTGATCCTTTTAGAGTAAATAAGAGGAGCACTGTGAATCTGGAGCTGTTTGTTTTTGACTGGAGGAGCATTATGGAGAAATCTTTTCCTCAGTTATGAACAGTGCTCCGTATGTAGTGGTGCCACTGATTGACCTTCAATCTTGGCTAATCCTTCACACTTTTTATTACTCATAAAATATTAATTAATTTCCCAAGGTATTAGCATTATGCACTGTTTTGCTTTCATTGTTATTCAACAGACCTATCTCTCTACTTTTGCTGCTCAGATGTAAAATGTTGACATATTTAATACAAGAAAACAGCAACAAAATATGAAAGACACTACAGATTGTACCAACTGGCCTGGGTACAGGAAAAGCCGTGGTAATCAAGGCCCGTGAAAGCTCTATAAATAAAACATCTTTGTCTTGTTTTGTACCATCCTAGGATATTACTTCCTATATATCAAAGAAAAGCTTGGTATTAAAAACTGAGAACCTGCTGAGGTTAGAACTGAGCTCAAAGGAAGAGTATATTACTGGCTTATTAAAATGGATGCTTTAGTATACACATACAGTTCACACACCTGAAGAATTCATACCACTCATCTTAATTTATTATAGTGAGAAGTAGAAGAGACTTTTCAGGTTCAGATTTTCTCATAAGAAATGGTCCCTTTGTATCACTCCAGCAGCAAAAAAGGTTTGTAAAGTCAGCAGATCCAGCCAGACAGGGATTCCCTTAAAATGGAGGGGAAATCCTTGGATCATGTAGAGCCAGCATAGCTATAATTTAAGCCATTCTCTCTCCATCTCCACCTTTGGTGTAGTGTGCATATTGGGGGCATGGCTAAGAGCAAGCATACGTAGCCAGAGTACTACTGTGCTCCAGTGATCCTTGGTAGCAGACCTTTCTACTTGTGGCCAGAGCCAGCCAGCCCTAAAGCTGCTCTAATCTAAGATGGGGACTGGGCTGGCTGTATAAATGGCTACAGGATCATGGAATCATAATGTGTATCTTTGTAGCCCTTCCTCCTGCCCCCCTCAGCTAATTACAGAATCCACAAGTGAGAATCTCAACCTTACTGTGACATGTTAAGTGACATGAGAAATATTCTACACTTGAAACAACAATACAAAAATTGACTCTTAAAATTCCCTCTGTTTTTCAGCAGATTTCATGTTCTGTAAAGAAAGTCCCACTGAATAACCAAGTTCTTCCAAAAAAGAAAAATTAAAAAAAAATACATTCCCTTCCTGCAAGGCAGGTGGAGTTTTAAGACTGCAGGTATTCTCTAAAAATAAATTATATTCAAGCACAATGTCTTATTATTAGTATTCCTTTTCCATAAGCCAAAATAGCTAAGGCTAGGTACTGCATGTATCAGTTTTTTATTCTGTTTATTTCCTTTTTGATTATTTTTCCATAGTTAAGGAAGCATACACCAAAAGCAATCAAAATAGTCTGTATATCA